TGTGTGTGTGAATTTGCACAATGTATAATGAAAGGAGAGATGAAATATTGAAAAAAGTGGAAAAAATACATCATGATATCTTCATTAAACACTGATGTGAAGTGTACTGAAGTGAATTTAAGGGCTGGGGATGTATACAGTGATGTAATGCTTGCCTAGGTTACAATAAAACAATTGAATTTAACATTAGAAAGTCCACTTTACATCGCTTTTTACAATCTTTGCTCTGTCCATCAACTTACCAATGGCAGCTTTGCCCCAGATTTGTATAGTGTGGTCTGTTTTTCCTTTTGTGGATTTATTTAATATCTGAAGGCTAGTTTTAACTCTGCGTTCTTCCTCATTTTTTTCATCTCCTTCCCAAGGATTCCATTCTTCACTTTCCAAAGAAGACTGTTCTGTTTAAAAAGAGTAAGAAGTTTACTAGGAAGATACAAGTGCAGTTGTAGGTAAATTCAGGCCATTTAAATTAGATGTTAGAGAGTTCTAATACCATCCTAACTTCAGTTTTTCAGAGATAAAGCAACTGAATTTGAGCCAGTTAAACACACACAATTAAAAAAAAAAAAAGAAATCAGCACTCTGATTTTTACTGAACCACAGCTTGAAAAGATCTTAGAAATAAAAAATTAACAAGAGACAGGACAAGCATCTCCTACAAAACAAAACCTTGAAACAAAACTGGATAATATGTATCAAACCATATGTTTAACATTTGCAACTCTTTATCGACCGTATACACTTAACCTATACATAAAATCTTATGCAAGGGCTGAATGTGTGGCCTAGCAAGCACAAGGCCCTGAGTTCAAACCCCAGTACTGCGACTACTGTTCACAAAATCTTATCCAGACTGCAGCATCCACCACTTTCAGATACGATTGTGCAAAAGCCTGAACAAAGAGAGTTAAACCCGAGTCCAATCCCAACGCAAGTCGAAATACAAGACAGGGGACCAGGTTTTGGAGCGAAGGCGCTTGTGGCCTTCCGAAGTCACTGGATGATTAGTCTCTTGATTTCAATATGGAAATAGAGGTTTTGCACCCAGAGGCTGTTTGCAGCACCTCGTAGCTCTGGCACCCGAGATAACACCCGTTTTCAAGGTGTGCTCCGGGTCTCGGGGTGGGGTGGGGCCGGCCAGTGACATTCCAACAGGGACGAGGGACACCCTCCAGCCCGAGCCCGGGGACGGGACCTGAGCCCTGGGCCTGCTTAGCGGCGCGCAGCCGGGAGCAAGGCCGCGCCCGGTCCTACCTCGGCCGCGCCACGCTCGGGCCGGGGCCGCCCCTTTCCGGAGGACCCGAAAGGTTGCAGCCGGCGCCCCGCGGCGGCCCCCGAAGAAGACGTGGTAGGCGGCGTAGAGGGAAAAGAGGCAGTAGAGCGCGATGAAAAACGAGCACAGGCGCTTCCGTGTCAGCCGCATCCCACTCAGCCTCCCACCGCACCGGGCGGTAGAAGCCTCCGCTCAGCGCCGCGGCCCTGGCGGCGTTGAGGATAGGCCCAGGCCTTGGCGGAGGGAGTCACCAAAACCCGCCCCGCCCCCGACGCAGCCAGGCCTAGCCCCGCCCCCAGGTTAGTCTCCCTACCAGGCCCCGCCTCGGACATAGCCCCGCCCCATCTCCACCAGGCCCCGCCTCCTTGGCGACAGTCCCGCCCAGGCCCCGCCTCTGGGGGCGGTTCCAGTCACAGGCTCCGCCCCCGCCCCGCCCATAGTTCCCTACGTCTCTCCCTGTCACTGGCTCCGCCCCACGTCCTGGTCCCGACCCCCGGGGCGGTGAGATCCAACCTTCCTTCATCTCTGAGGAGATGGAAGTGGGGTTCCTTCCTGGGCAAGGTTTCCTAAAGTGAGGCCCAATGGGAGTCTCTGACTTACAGAGTACCTGCAGCCCCTTTCAACTGACCACTTGTACCTTGTGCTTAAAGACTTGAGAGGGGAAAAGCAACATCCGTCATAGTCTGTGTAGGTCATGTAAAGGCAGAGGCTATGTAATTTTTTTGTTCAACATAGAATCCCTAGTGCCTAGGCAGGGTGCTACATTGATGGATGAGTGAATGTAAATGTTCTTTAAAAACAAAGATTAAATGATGATGGCTGCACAATATCGTGAAGTAATGAATTACACTTAACTGTATGCAAAGAAACGGTTAAAATGTAAAATTTATGTTTATGCATATATATCTTCAACAATAAAAAATTGAAAAATTAAAATTTATTGCTATGATGTGAATGTAATGCCTATAGACACGAGTCTTTTGTCAAATAGAAACTGTAAAATTGAATGTTATCAATAAACTTTCCATGTTAAGCCTTGTGCAGTTGACTTACAATTTCTGGTCACTTGGCCTGGAATTGCTGTTCAAATTGTCTGGTAGTTTTAGTAGCCCAAAAGCTTGTAGGGTACAATGATGGAGTTTCTGTGTGTTGGTTGGCACAGCTTTCTACTCTGATGCACAGTCCTTTTAAACGTCTTTGAATAAAGTTTACATCTTCTCCTTAAGCAAAAACTTAGTTTTCCTGAGTTTTATGCTCTTGGGTCAGATTCTCTGACTTCCAAGTGACAATTAGATATTTGATAAGGACAATTCTATGACTGGAAGGGAAATTTAAGTCTAGAGATGTGACGAGATGGGCCAAAATCCCAAACTTCAAGGCTGAGCTAGAACCAGAACCCTAGATCTGTTATCATTCTGAGTTCTTGCCATCATAGGAGTTATTTCTGTCCTCATCTAGCTTTATTGGCTTGACTCTGAATTGGTGTCCTTCCACATTAAATCCATTAATTAAACACTCCCACTGTTGAGGATATTAAAATGATATAGTTCAGTTTCTGAATGCAGTTCCAAAGGAATTTCCCAAATGTTTTGAGCATAATTTATGGAATATTTACATATATCTGTAATTGGGAGGTTCTCCCTCCCCCCATTCATGTGTTGAAATCCTAACCGCCAAGATGATGACATTGTCAGGTAGCCCTTGGAAGGTAACTAATTCATGAAGGTGAAGCATGAAGGATGTTTCATGACATCCTTTTAAAAAGAGATTTCAAAAAGCACCCTAGCTTGCTTTCTGCCACATGAGGATACAAGAGTCAGCAGTCTGTAACCTGAAGGAGAATCCTGACCACAACCTGACCATCTCTGACTGGCATCTTCCACATCTCTGAGAAATAAATTTCTGTGGTTTGTAAAACCCTTGTCTCATGGTAATTGTTATAGCAACTCAAAACAACTAAGACAGTATCCAACTAAGATGTGTCCTTACTCAAAATTAGACAACTGTGACCTACTGAAGGGAACAAAAACATACTGAGACATTTAAGTCCCAGTATTTGTTGGAAAATACATCACATTACTATATTGCCATGGTTGATAACTTGGGTGTATGGTGAGTAGGAAATGGAAATAATTTCACCAATATTTTTTCTAGGAATTTGATAAGTTCCTCTGCCTACAGATTCCTGTTTGGTGTTTTCTCTAGAAAAATATAGTACTTTGTCTTTTTTTTTTTTTTACTTCCTTATAAGCTACTCTTTTTTTAGCCAGGTTAAAATTTCATCATGTATTAGCTATACAACCTTGGAAGTCAAAACATTTGACATTTTTGCTCCTCTGTAAAGTGAGGTTAATAATAATCTCACCTCACAGTTTTTGTGTTTTATACAAATCATTTCTTCTCTTGCTGCCTCTGCCCTCCTTTGCCAAACAAAATATTTCAGGTTTGGCTATTTTGTTGCTAAGTCTTTAGAGCGATAGTTTAAAAAGAAATAAACTCTCAATGGTTTCTTTCATTTGAAGATGCTCTGTTTATTTAATCTGTTAAGACACAGCTTTGCTTTGAGCAACAGGGAAATATCAAAGAACGTGCCTTGTTTCCTGGTTAATAGAATAGATACTAAGATAGAAAAAATGAAGAGAACCATTGGAGAGAGGATGATTTGTCTAAATATATATGTATATATTTGCATTGTAAAATCTACAGGAACTTGAACAATTTATGCAAAAGCTGAAATGTTTATTATTGGGATTAGAAGAGACAAGGGCAGCCTAAAGTACATTATCTTCAGTAGATACCTGACACATGTTTATAGATGATGATAGCATTACCAGTTTTTTGTCACTTCACACATTGACCTTACAGTACCTGGTATGGCATATTTTAGGATAGGTCATGTGCTGATTGAATTCTTTCCAGTACCCAAACTAATTTATGCCAAGGCTTATATATTTTGATCTTGGGATATCTATCGAGAGCTAACACTACTATGTCTTAACCAGTGTAGATGTCAGTTCTGAGAACTAATGCCATCTTTATGAATATGACTTGCCTACTTGTTTTACTAATTTTTTGCCAGAAAGATAAGGCTATAAACTAATAATAATGTCACTGTTTGCTTCAAGAGATTACTTCAAACTAGTTAATCTGTACAGTTCACTCTTCTTTGCAAATCACTTGTCTAGCTGAAATAGATGTGGTTCATCTGGGCAAATAGTTCACTTATGAAGCAACAATTTAGTTAGCATGACTTGCTTCATGACCATTGCCATGGTGTATATACCATTTGGGTGATCAATTATCCTAGTGTGCCCAGGACTGAAGGGGTTCCCAGAATGTGGGACTTTCAGTGCTAATATTGGTAAAGTCTCAGGCAAACCAGGACAAGTTGGTCACCCTAGTATAAACCCTAAAGTATTATGCCATGAACTCTGCCCAATCTACACAACAGATCCCCTGTCTTGAAAGACTTGCTCTAAAATCATCTGTACTCAGATCCCCAAATCATTAAGTGCCACCCCCTATTCTTCCCCTCTGTGACTACTAAGCTCTGTCAAAGTCTTGTTCTCCCTTCCTGTGGTAGGTTTAAGGAATGTAGCTTTCCTTGATCAACAGATTATCCCAGTGAGCTCTTGTTTTATGTATGCTGTTTGATTTAACTTTTCTGTGGAAATGACAGTTACAGTTAGTGCTGTATAGTGACATTTCAGTCAATGATGGACTGTGATATGACAATGATGCTGTGGGATGATAATGGAGCTGATGAATTCCTGTTGCCTAGGGATGTCATAGCATAGCATCATGGCAAAACACTTTGTTCACAAGTTGGTGATGCCGGTGTAAATTCACTGCACTGTCGACAGACAGTGGATATGATTTAGTGCATACTAAAAGATAGTGCCTACAATTACATATAGTATGTAACACATGATCATATACAACTAGGTTATTGGTTTATGTGTTTACCATGCTATACTTTTTATCATTATTTTTTGTGGTTCTGGAAACTGAACCTAGGGTTTCACACATGCCAGGAAAGCCCTCTACCATTAAACTACATCACCAGCCCTATCATTATTATACAGTGCATTACTTAATAAAAAAAAGAGCCTATAAGACAGGAAGCTATGCTATGCTGATATCTCTTGTGTTTACCAAGTTTCTTGATTGAATCAAGAGGCCACATGGAGTGACTGAGTTATATCATGTAGCCCTGTGTAAGGACACTCCATGATGTTAACACAGTGAAAAACTGCCTAACAACACATCTCTCAGAACATGTCACTCTTGCTAGGTGATGCCTGACTTTATTTAAAGACAGGGAGGATTTATTTTATAATCACCACAAAACATCCACTGAATCAATGTATGCTCAAATGTTCTCAAATAAGAGCTTTACTCTTGAGCGAAGCATGAGAGGTAAAACTAACATGAGTTTGATGTTGTATTGAGAGAGGATAACTGCATGGAAATGAGTGTAGTGTTCTACTTCAAACCGCAAATGACTGTACGATATGGTCATGTTCTTGTTAGGGACTTAGCTTGATCTGAGTTCAGCAGAGTTCATTTCTTGAACTATTAGTTCAGTGGTTAAATTTCAGTTGAAAATGTCTTTCTGCATATGTTCTAATCTCCTCAGGTTGGGATGAGTGGAGAGAGAGAGAGAGAGAGGAAGAGGGAGAGGAAGAGGGAAGGGGAAAAGGAGAAGAAGAAGTGGTGGATACAACAGATGAGGGAAGATGAGATGAATTCAACTAAAGCAGGGTGAAAACTTTGTTGACATTTTCTTCTCTGATGAACTATTAATCTATGAGATGCTAAGAAAATATCACTAATGTTCTCATACTTTCTACTAGCTAACTGGGAGACCATACACATTTATTCTTAGACATTCAGTTACTTGGGAAAATTCTCTTAGTTTACAAGGTTCCAATAATACTCAAGAGGTGTATTAATGAGAGATTTTTCACAGCTTAGCAAGCCTGTTTCTTACCCTTTGTAAGATGCCCCTAGGAGGGTTTTGGCCAAGAACCTGTAAGTCATGACTATGGCTGTGATATTACTGGTATTCCTCCACACTTCCTGGTTCCTAACTATTATAGAACTTCCTTGTCATTTCCTAAATGATGAGAATGATGAGCATGTTTTCTGTTATAAAATTGGGACACTTTAGGCCTCAGAAAGCAAAATCTTG